GAAGCTCATACAAGAGAGAAAGACAGGTTCAATGTGAGCTGGCATCAGCTACTTGGGATTCCTACCTGGAAAATATTCACAGACTAGCCCGGCAAGCTACCAAGAGTATTTGATATGCCAAACACAGTAACAACAAAGTCTCCAAGGGAGACGTTACTGGGCCCGCTCGAGCAAATCGAGATCTGTCACAAACTGAGAAATTTTCCAAAACAAAGTCAAGACAAAAAAAAAAACACTATTCTGCATAGGGCTCATTTCTCCGGAGCAAGAGTTTGTGCTTAATTCAAAGGGTCTGAATTCCTTTTTTTGTTTGGTTTGGTTTAGTTTTCTGGTCTGGAGCGATAGTGCAGCGGTAGGACGTTTGCCTTGTGTGCAGCCAGCCTGGCTGAGCTGGGTTCGATTCCTCCACCCCTCTCCGAGAGCCCCGCAAGCTACCGGGAGTATCTCGTCCTCACGGCAAAGCCTGGCATGCTACCGGTGACAAATTCAATACGCCAAACCAGTAACAACAAGTCTCATGATGGAGACGTTACTGGGCCCACTCGAGCAAATCGATGAACAATGGGAGGACCGTGACTGTGTTTGTTTTTATTTTGGGTTCACACCAGAGGACGGGGAGGGGTTACTCCTGGCTCTGCACTCAGCAATCATTCCTGAAGGTGCTTGGGGGACCATACAGGATGTCTGGGTTGGCTCTGTGCAAGGCTAAGTCTCTTCCTGCTGTACTATGGCTGTAGCCACATGAATTCTTCTTTTTTAAATTAAGTCACCATGAATTACAAAGTAACTCAAAGTCATTACAAAGGGTTTCAGAAATACAGTGTCCCAACACAAATCTCTTCCACAAAACCCATGTCCTTCCACCTATGCCAACTTTTCCCTCACACCCCCCACCCCTATCTCTAAGAGAGGCAATTAATTTTTTATACCTCATCCCATGGCTTACTGTACTGTCGCCAATGGGGTCTCACGCATACACTGTACTGCCTCTCTTCCTCTGAACACTTCCCTCCCTACTGTTCCTTTCTCTGTTGGTCTGAACTCTTGTAACATCAGGTCTTGGAGAAGACTTGCAGGGTCACAGGGGACATCAGGTCTTGGAGAAGACTTGCAGGGTCACAGGGGGATACAATCTGGAGTTCAAGAGTAACCACTAAAATCTCCATCATTGCTCTAGTGGCTGAATCCTGCAAATATAAGACCATCCATCCACCACCCCCAAACCCCAATCCCACCCCAACCCACCCTGGACTTGTCTCATCTTCTCGTCTGTATTTAAGTAAGTCCAAAGGAAAATGTTGGCTCTGGTGCATGAAGTGAATGCTCAGTAAAGACCAATCTGGGGGACAGACCCCAGGGAAGAGAGCGACAGGGGGGATGTAACCTAAGAGGCCTCTAACACAGCCCAGATGAGAACAGACAGTCTTGAACTGCAACAATGGCAATGATGACTGAAAAGAGGACAGTTACACAAGACATTTCCGAGGTAGAAGCGCCTCCGTGATTCATTAGATGTGGGAGGCAGTGACAGGGCTGAGTGTTGGCTCCTGGCTTGCCGGGACAGTGAGGGTGCTAGTGCCGGATACAGAGCAATCAGAGAGGATGAGGGTTTGGAGGGGGAAATCAAGTGTCCACAATCAGTTTTGATGCAGTGCCTATTAATTGAAGGTATCTTCACATCTTCTCCGTCTCCCACCCAGACAATATTTTTCTCAAGTGTGATCCAGATATATCTGGTAACGAGATGATTCTTGCAGTGGGTGCTAGGATTACCTAGTAATGCTGGATTGCTTTATGAGAACGTGCTTTCCTGCAAAATGCTCCTTCTCTCCCACTGTCTTTGTCAAGGACATGTTTTACTTTGGGGATACTTAAACTTTCTGATTTCTCGACTACCTTTCCTCTTTTTTATTACAATATACTCAAGAATTGGGAGACACATATTTATGCATTTAAGATTTAAGAACAGTTTTGTTTTCTTTATATTATGATATCAAATATTTTGTCAGACACCACAGGCTTTCCATTGATGACCTTTGTATGAACATTCCTTTAAAAAAACATTTTAGTAAAACAATGAATCAACTTAGAGAAGAAAAATACTAAGAAACCAGCCATCCTGTTGCTTCTTGATTATAGCAAATTCAGGGAAGTGCTTGGGCTAAAGCCCAATAGTAGGGTCCACGCCTCCTCACCTGTCCGAAGCCCTGGGTTCAATCTCTGACGCCAGAAAACAAAAGAACAACAAATCCAGAGCAACTTCACCCTCTTGCTATCTCCGACAATCAAACCAACAGCAAACCAAAAGCCAAAGTCAGGAAAGGTGAAAGTAAATGAAATCAGAGTTAGAAAACCCTGCACAAAGCTAGGTGACGTTGTAGACAATATTCTTGCCCAGTTTTGCTTCTCAAAAGGAGAAGCACTTTTTGAACGTCGAAGAGACAACCACATTGCAATAAGAGCTAAGATTCAAACCTTCTGATAATGTTCCAAGAAGATATCAAGATAACTCTCCCATAGACATTAAGTAGTTATGGAGCTATGCTTTGAATATGGAAATGGCATCAGGTATCAAGCAAGGGGACCCGCAGAAGCACTCTGTCATTGTCACAAGAACAGGCTGTGCTCTTCAATATTGGTACGCGATTTCTATTTCAGCCCTTTCTTCACAGAGGAGGCAGACTTAGGTCTGTACACAAAGTGCCACCAGCAAGATCAAGATAAGAAAGAAAACCAGTGTGGAAGCTAAGGGCCAAGTTAATATTCATAAAAGGGTCAATGAGTTCAACTTAATGATACTGTTCTACCAAATCTGTTATCTCTGCAGTTTTACTGTGATTTTCCATAGGAAGACTTTCAGAAGACACCTTGGAAGGTTTCTTTGCCATGTATTCAGTAAAGTGATCATTTTCTTCAGCAAAAATCTTATAGGCAGAGTGTGCTCTAACTTATTTTCAGTACGGAACAACGAGAAAGAGATTATATTAGGACCAGTGATAAAAAGCCAATCTTTCCCTTATCACCTTCTGAATGCCACTTGATTAAAAATGACTGAACAAAAGATCTGCTAGTCATGAATTTGTGGGTTCTGTTGAGGGTGTTAGAATAATTATAGAAATATGAATATACAACAGAACTTAACACCCAATTCCTCTTTCTGCAGAATTGAAGATTATTTTTACATGTGTTCTTTCTTCCACAGATGGAAGACTTCAGTTCTAAGACATTGCTGAGCCTCTATTTTGGGTCCAAGAAGACTGTTCTAGGACGTTATGGTCAGGATTTCCAGTGAATAAGGGAACAGAAGGCCACTTGTCAAAAATATCCACAAGCATTTATTTGATCATTCAATATTTTTTTGGTAAAATAAGAGTCTATAGAAGAAATATGCAAAAGCTGATGATAACGTAAGAGTCTGATTACTATTTGATTCAGAGGATGGTGTTAGTAAAGGAAAACCTTAAATTTCTCTTTTGCATCTTAATTCACTTTTCCTTCTATACTAGGCTAAAGTCTTTTCCCAAATTAGTCAACACAAAAGTCACTGTCACTATCCTCCCATTGTTTATTGATTTGCTCAAGCGGGCCCAGTAACATTGTGAGGCTTGTTGTTATTGTGTTTGGCATATCGAATTCAGAAAGTGGGGGGAGAGGAAACAATTGTAGTGAGTTTCTGTTTTCTATAGAAAACAGCTCAAACTTATAACTATCAAAAGAAAGGCCATAAGAAATGGGAAACAGAATAGAATGCTGAGATTTAAAACGGGAACATACTTAAGTTTACATAATTTGAAAAGGAGTAATTGGGGAATGGGAGCTGAAGTCTAATCTGACTGGAGAATATACTCAGTACTGCAGAGGCTTCTCTGGTTACCCAGTGAACATAAAAACATATCTGGGGGGTCATTATGTTTAATTTGTCCAATATGAGTTTTAAAACCAATTGAATATCACTAAAAAAATTCACAAAATTGGCCTGGTGAGATAACACAGTGGTAGGGTGCTTGCCTTGCATGTGACCAACCCAGGTTTGATCCCTGGCATCCCTAATGGTCCACCATGCCACGAGAAGTAATTCCTAATTACAGAACTAGGAGTAAGCCCTGAACATTGCCAGATGTGCTCCCCCAAGAGTCATAAAAAATAACATTTCACATAAAAACTGCAGACTTTTAGCTTGTTAAATATTTTTTTAGTAAGAAGTAAAATTTTTTATCTATTTTTTTTCATAAACTCAATATGTCTGGGTCACAGATATTTTAATTCACAAAAGATATCTGGGGAAGCTGATCTCAATGAGTTCAGCGATTATTCAGAATCTGTACCTGAGAAATGTTATCTCTGGAGTTTATACCTGTCTGAAGCAAAAGCGTTATGTACTGATGAAGCCAGTTAAAACTACTAAGTTTTGTGGGGTCAGAGTGATAGTACAGCAGGAAGGGCATTTGCCTTGCACACGGCCAACCCAGGTTTGGTCTACACCATCCCATATGGTCCCCTGAGCACCTCCAGGAATAATTCCTGAGTACAGAGCCAGGAGTAACCCCTGAACATTGTCGAGTGTGACCCAAAAAGCCAAAAAATACACTGCTGAATGGAGAATTTATCCATATTTATCACAGTTGCTTCTAATTTTGTAGCAACTTCATTCTTCCCTTAAGATTACTTTAAACGTTATTCGAATGTATCATGAAACATTTCCTAAAAGAAACACCTACACCTAGTATTTTCTTTCTTAACAACTGTTTCTCATTTTTACTTAATAATTTAAACAAATAATCTAACTTGAATCCATTTTGCTTTAAAAAGATAGAATCCATTTCTGTGTATCTATTATACTAGAATACCATTAAAATTTCTTGCAGTCAATTAAAACATTTCATTAAATTTCTAAACAGCATATGTTGAAAGATAATTAAAAAAATCTTTCTGAATCACACATGCCTGAATTTTAACTTCGGTGAAAGGGTCGCTGAAAAATCACTTTAAGTGAAACATACCAGAAGTCGTTTTCACTACTTCAGTGGTATTTCTGAGTCCAACGAAGGAAAATTGATAAAGTCTCCAAGACCTAGTATCACCAACTTCAACAGAACTCCGCTTCCATTGATAGACAATTTCTTCGCGTGGGTAGCCATCTGCCATAAAATGGAAAGGCACACAATTATTATGGCTATAAATCAGTATACAGAGCAACCACCTCCTATAAACACGACAACGAAGAAGGTACTAATAGAAGGCAGAATTATAATTTAAATAAGGCACCTCGTCTACAGACATTCACAGTAAAGGGAAGGAAACACAGTGACATCACATTATAATGGAAGCTTAGATTTTTAAGAAATCTTAAGTTCAAAGGTACTATTAAAATTGCCTTGAAGGCCTGGAAAGATAGTATAGCAGTAAGGCACCTGCCTTGCATGCATCCAATTGGGGTTCGGTCCCTAGCACTCTATATGCTAAAGATCCTGGAGGCTGATAAACAACTTGGAATAAGATCCCTTCTTTTTTGCTCCAACTATTTGTTCTTATGTTTAATTATTAAGAAGGAGGGAAAGCATGATTCTCAGGCTACTAGATAAACAACTTGGAATAAGATCCCTTCTTTTTTGCTCCAACTATTTGTTCTTATGTTTAATTATTAAGAAGGAGGGAAAGCATGATTCTCAGGCTACTAGGAGGGGCACAGGAGAGAGTGACAATTTATTAAAATTTTGTTTCTGTGGCTGGAGCCATAGTGTTTCGGATAAGGCACTGACTTGCCTTGCATGTGGGTGACCCAGGTTCAGTCCCTGGCGTCCCTTATTGTCCTCACTCACCACTAGGGGTGATTCCTGACGGCAGAGCCAGGAGTAAGCCCTGAGTTCTGCCTAGTGTGGCCCAAAAGGCGAAAAAATGTTTGTTTGTTTGTTTGTTTGTTTGTTTTCTTAAAGTGTCCATCATGGCCCAAAGTGGTCTGCCCAACTGAATGTAGTGGTAGTGAAAATTTTGGCAACAGTAAGTCATTTGTAAATGTACAAATGTAAATTAATTCAAAATAAAATGTTTAATGAACTCAAGATATTTCTGACAGTGTTCCATGGGGTTGCAAGTGAAAAACTTTTAAGAAACCTTGCATTCGAAAACTTTCTATGGAGGGGCAAGAGTGATAACACAGTGGGTAGGGAGAGTCCAAACCAAGTTTGATCCCTGGCTTTTCAAATGGTTCTCGGAGCCCAGACAGGAGTGATCCCTGAATGCAAGGTCAGGAATAAGCCCTAAGCACCAGTGGTCTGACCCAAAAATGAAATGAAGGGGAGAGAAGAGGAGGGGAGGGAGGTAATTTTCTATGGAGCACATGTTGCTGAATGAACGTTCATGACAGCAATCGTAAACCCTAGGTTGTGTTTAGAATCAGAAGACAAATGTGAATTGGACCTAATTCAGCAGAAAGACCACTGGTTTTATGCATGATACACTTTCAGTAACAGTATTGCAAACCACAGTGTCTAAAAGGGAAAAAAAGAGAGGGAGGTGGAGGGAAGAAGAAGGATGGGGGAGAAGGAGGATAAGGATGATGAGGAGGAGGTCCACCACTGATGGGAATGAGGGGTGGCAGGCAGGCAGGAGGGAAACTGGAACATTGGAGGTGGAAAATGTGCACTAGTGAAGGGACAGATGTTGGAACATTGTACAACTAAGACTTTATCATGAACAATTAGCGATAGCACAGCGGGTAGGGCGTTCGCCTTACAAGCGGCCAACATGGCCGACCCGAGTTCGATTCCTCCGCCCCTCTCGGAGAGCCCGGCAAGCTACCGAGAGTATTCGATATGCCAGACACAGTAACAACAAAGTCTCCAATGGAGACGTTACTGGGCCCGCTCGAGCTAATCGACGATCAACGGGAGGGCCTTTACCTTTATATACACTTCATGGTAATAATTTTTTAAAATAAAAAATCTGCAAAATAGGGCTGGAGTGATAGCACAGCGGGTAGGGCATTTGCCTTGCACACGGCCGACTTGGGTTCGATTCCCAGAATCCCATATGGTCCCCCGAGTACTGCCAGGAGTAATTCCTGAGTGCAAAGCCAGGAGTAACCCCTGTGCATTGCCAGGTATGACCCAAAAAGCAAAAAAAAAAATCTGCAAAATAAAATCACTAGTTTGAGCTTTAACTCACTGGAGAAAGATATGGATCCATACAGAAAATGGGTCTATACCATGAGGAAAATTATAGGAATATTTGGAGAGGTGCCAGGGAGAGGGAAGCAGGCATTTACCTTGAGTGCAGCTAACCCAGGTTCAATCCCCAGCACTGAATGTGTCCTTACAACCTGCTGGAAGTGATTCCTAATCACATAACTGGGAGTGAGCCCTGAGAACAGCGCAAATTGCCAAAAAGAAAAAATTTTCGGAAAAAAAAAAGGGAAATCTTTCCATAAATTACACTCTTGATTAAAATATATGTAAATTCGCAAAGGGAAATTTTCTTTATTTTCAGTGTGATATTTTCCCTCTGGAATAAACAATAGTGATTAGATGATGAAGTCTCTTGTCATTGATGTTTTTAGGTACATTTACTATGATTTAGCTGGTTCTTAGGATTCTCCCTCATGCCCTGGCTAAAAACTGTATTTATAATGTTCATAATCAGTTTATCATCCTGACTAATTAGATACAGTTGGCAGATCAAGAGAGAAGGAAAGGAGCAGATCAGCCTAACAAATGATGAACAAAGAGTGAGGGGGTTGCTGGGGGTGGGGAGGAGTTGATTTTAGTTCATCAAGATTATCTCCTCTAAGAGGAAATCATGTTCAAGTAGCTGTCATTAATGAGTATGCCAACGTCAAAATGTGAAAAATGACACGGTCAGATCTCTCATTCTGGAACGTTCGAAGAGAAACAACTAGCAAATATGCTGCCATGCCTTTCTGTGCCCACTGGGGGCACGGGAAATATAATCCATCACTGATTCTTTCTATGGAGGCCAGGAAGTCCCTTTCCACAAAAGATCCAGGAAACCAATCACACACACAGACAGAGGCATGCACGCACGCACACACTGTAACCCTGATCAAATAAATCTGTTTTTTTGTGTTACGAATGACTTTAATAGAGACAAAAGGGTCAAAGTGAAAATGCCTTCAAAGTCCACGATGGCTAATTTCTGCCTACGCTTTCAGTGTTTCCCAGGGAGCTGACACTGCATCAGAAGACGAGGTGGCGTGGGGGCAGGAGGAATGCACAACAGAGGAGTATTACTTACAACTGGAGAACTCCAAGGGGCAGGAGTGTTCATCCATTGGAAAATTGTGCAACTGTAACTGGCACTCAGCATCAATTGTCAACCTACATAAAAAGAACAGAGAGGGACTTTAGGTGAAGCTCTAAAGTGTACATGATCACAGTTTCTAAGGAACATTCATCTTTGTTCCTGGAGAATCAATCTCACAAAGATGACTTCTTCCATGAGAGTCTGTATTATTATTACAAAGATGACTCTCACTGAAGAAATTTATCAAGTGCAGGAGAATACTTTTTAAGAGTCAGTGTAATCCACTCATTTTTACACACCCAACCAAGAAGCTCATTGAACTTACGTCCATTATTCAGAATCTAAGATCACGTATTTTTGGCAAATTAATTGCAAGCTCATTGCTCGGTGAATATATTTAACAGAACAAACTGTTTTAGGAACTTAAGTTCATTTACTGTTTGCATATAAATGAATGCTGATAATTCTATCTAATCTGCTAATTAAAGCAGAACCTTCTGTTTGTAAGTACTTGTTAGCTGTTAGCTTTAAATTATTATATGTGAGTTTAAACATACTATTTCACAATGGAGTATCATGCATTCTTAAAATGGACCACTAAGAAGCTATTAAATAGGATGTTACAAAGAAGAATATTTAAGGGCAAGTAAGAAATGTTACATGAATATACATAAATATATTAGAAAAATGTTTGCCAGGGAGTCTCAATTAGTTTCCATCTGGGTGATTACTAAACACTTGGATTTTGTGAGCCTCAGTATGAGATTAAACTCTTGGTGGGAAGAAAATGAAAAAGCACCCCAAAAGTGTTGAACATCCTTTGAAGGAGCAAAAATATATTATAAAATTGCAATAATTTTTAAAAGGGTCTGGAGAGGTAGTTTTGCATGCATCCAAACCAGGTTTGATCTCTAGAGCCCTATTTGGTCCCCTGAGCACACCAGGAGTAATCTCTGAGTGCAGAGTCAGGAGTAACCCCTCAGCACCACCAGGTGTGGCTCCCAAACAATCCCCCCTGAATACAAAAGCTGCAATGATAATATGTTGTTAATTTTTATTTATTGGGGTTTTTTGGGGGGGGTTGGAATGTTACACCCAGTGATGTAAATTGTCTAGGAGGAATTAAGTAAATTCAGTGTTTTTACTTTTTCATGTTTTAAATTGTCCCAAGTGGCAAAGCTAGTACCAGAGAGAAAATAAGAACTCAAGATAATCTCATTCCAAAGATGGAGATTTAAATTGCTGTCATTCAATTATTACATGCTCTTTCAGAGAAAATATTATTTTTCTTCATAGGTGAAATTATACTTTTATACTTTAAAATCCTGATTTGATCTCATGAGTTATCATGAAAATCACTCTTAGGTGATTTTTGTCATTAAATATTACATTATCACTCATGAGTTATCAAGAAGATCACTATTAGGTGATTTTCATCATTAAATATTACATTGATCTGCATGAATAAAAGCCAAGATGACTATAACGTTGTAAGAAATAAAAAGAGACTTGAAATAGTGCTACAGGAGCGATAGCACAGAGGTAGGGCGTTCGCCTTACAAGCGGCCAACATGGCCGACCCGAGTTCGATTCCTCCGCCCCTCTCGGAGAGCCCGGCAAGCTACCAAGAGTATTCGATATGCCAGACACAGTAACAACAAAGTCTCCAATGGAGACGTTACTGGGCCCGCTCGAGCAAATCGACGATCAACGGGAGGGCCTTTACCTTTTACTACACTCCAATTTAGCAGATGGTCTTTGTTTTTACTGGATTCTAAGCCGTATGTCACCTTTATCTCTAAAGAAACCTGTAAGTTTACAATGCGTGCAATAAATTTCTTTTATGACATCTTAGTAATCAAACTCTAATAAGGGTTTTGAAACCATTATAAATAGTTGTGTTTTGTTTGCTGAATATTCTAAAGGCATTTATATTTCATAAAGTAAATGCTGCAAGGATACTTAACATTGCTTTGAAGCTAGAAATTCCTAGAAAGCTAGGATTAATATCTAGAAGATTCCAATCACTCATATGCTTTCTGAAAATATGTACATATAATTTTGTCTACTCATGCTTACTATTTGTAGCAGACTCTACGTTAAGCACTTTAGATATTAACCCCATTTTCTCAATATGACAGCATTATCTCCATTTTATTGAAATTAAAGGACTAAAACTGTAGTACTGAGTTTCCTGGAAGTCCAGAGGAAATGTTGGTGAGAAAGAAGTTGCTGCCTTCTTCCCCAACAATCTCAATCAACTGCCACCCAACTTCTCCAAGTAAAAATATGAGCAAGCAAAAGCATCAAACTACTGTACAAAAAAATCTCTCTGAGTAAGCCTTTTCGTTCTATGACCCACCCCCCTTCCTCTCACTTAGCTTACTGTCTCTAAATAAATACGATAGAGAAATGCTTGTGAGTTGTCTTAATTTATCTATATAGGAACATACTGAGTCAGAACCGTCAGTTTTTCCTGATTCTTAGTTCTATGTATGTATCTATTATGCTGTTCAAGAAATATCCACCCGAGGCCAGAGTGGCTGCCTAGCTCATGCCTTGTGGATGTGCAGCCCTGATTTGACTGCTGTCACCAGATGGCCCTCAGGACCACAGAACCTGAGCAGCAAGATCTGAGCACCAAAGGCCTTAGCCCCTGGCGATATCAGCTCCAGCACCCCCACACCACAACAGCAACAACAAAAGGATGCGCTCTTGCCCCAGCAGTGAGCAACTTCAATGTAAAAACAATTTACATGCATCAATCTATGACATGCTAATTGCCAAAACCAAAAAAAAAAATCAGGGGAAACCTTCCAGATATTACTTCATGTTTAAAGTAGAAAAGATTGGGGCTGGAGCGATAGTACAGCAGGTAGGGCATTTGCCTTGCACAAGGCCAACCCGGGTTGATTCCCAGCATCCCATATGGTCCCCTGAGCACCACTAGGAGTAATTCCTGAGTGCAGAGCCAGGAGTAACCCCTGTGCATCACAGGGTGTGACCCCAAAAGCAAATAAATAAACAAATAAAATAGGAAAGATAAACAGTGACTCCTTCAAGTTTTCCTAGCAGAGGTCTAGTCCCAAAATAGTTAATACAGTAAGTCCAAGAGCCTATTAATGCAAGGAAACTCATTGTAATTGTCATTGTGCAGCTGTAAAAGTGACAAATACGTAAGAGACATCAACATAAAAAATCTGTTTTGGCATGGATTTCCTTGGAAATGGGAACACTTTCCACCATGTCAATGCATGATCCTTAGGATGAGTGTGTTTCAATTTAAAGTACAGAAAAGAGCCAAGGTAAACCGAACAAAGTATCTTACAAAGGAAAGGGGATTTCATATTGCATGACTCTGTAAGAAAACAAGAATTCTTATATTCAGCATAGAAAATAAAACCCCCCAAAATTCTAGTTCTTTGAAGAAGCTCATTAGTAACAGGAGATAAATAAAACTAATTTAGGGAACTTATATAATATTTTGATCAAGCATGCCAAACATTTTGTGAAAACACAAAATTTGTTTCTTTTTGCTTTAAGGGTGTGTAACTTTACTTTTAGCTATTATGCCTTTCCATGTACAAAAAAAGAAGAAGAAAAGAAAGGAAAAAAACCTTAGAGTGTAGAGAACTCGGCCATCATTCCAAATTCTCAGCATCCTGTTGGGGGTAGTGATCCAGTGAGCATCAGCCTTTTTGGAATTTCTGAAGAAAGTGTCTGGAATCCAGATTTTTCCCACCATGTTACTATTCAATCGGAGGACTTTAATGGTGCTGTTAAATTTAAGGCGTCTGTCGTACCATGTTTGGGCAAAAAATATATCAATCGTATATTCCTGTTTTAAAGATAAAGATGAAATCAAACTTATTTTTTAATGCAGTATGTCTATTGTAGAGCATAAATTTGCAATTGTTGTTTCTGTTCTCACTGTCAATTTGAAACTAATTTGGATTTTAAATAGTTCAAAGGAAAGCAAAATATGCCAAGGAGACCACTGACTCATCCATCATTTATAGACTAGTTGATACTTTGACCAAAAACAAAAACTCATGTATAAAGGTTCTAGCAAAATATCACAGCCCTAATACAAGTCCATGACATTACATTTTCCATGTTATTTAGGGCAAGTAAATTCTTTGCCATGGAAGGCTGTTTTGTCTATGTTTGACTGCTAGCTGCCATGCCTCCAGATGCCAGGAGCACAGAGATCACTAATCCTATCCCACCTAGTAAGTAAGACTAAAATTCCAGCTGACATTTCCAAATATCTCTAAAAGAAACAATCATGACCAAGATTCAGAACCAGTGATAGAATGGAAAAAGTCCAGAACATCCACAACAGTTCCAGACCAGAGTTTTGCAGGCTCTGCTGCCTCCTAACTAAATGAGAATCCTCAAGAATCTAGCTTACAGGTAGCGTGATAAGACCTGGATTTTACATAAAGTTTTGGTGCCATGTGTGGTACATAGCAAGCAGCCAATATAAGGTAGTCATTTAAAAAACAATTACCATTGTAGTTGTCATTTTCTCCAAACACGATAAAATAAGTGAATTAAGGAACTATTTTTACTCCTTTACTAAGTTCTGTCATACATATAACAGACAGTGATATGATGACTATTAGTATGCCAAGAGAACAATGTCTACATTAAACAAACAGTGGGGGATTGTGACATAAATCTAGACCATTAGGTGTGGAATAAGAATATTCTAATTCTAGTATTTAGTATTTAGCATTATTTTGTAATGATTTTAGTCAAATCCACAAAGGAGAAAATAAAAAAAGCTCTGTTCTTTTGCAATGGGAGCTAGGAGTGGAAGTAATTTATATTTCCAGTCTAATTCCTAACCCATCTCACTGTTATGAATCACACACACACACACACACACACACACACACACACACACACACACACGACTCTCTTGTTGTCCAAGAATACAGAGCCTTTCAGTGTGATTCTTCTTCCTTTACTTTGTCTGCATTGTTCTAGGCTATTTCCATTTCTCTGTCACTGACTATATCTTCCCAAGGCTAAGTCAGGTCACTTTTATAGCATAATTGCAATCCATACATCACCAGACAAAAGAGGGTTACTAACTGTATAAAATGCTTTGTTACCTCATTTGTAACAATCATTTCTGATTCATATTTTGCCATTAAAACACACAGAGGAAACACAAAAATAGATATTATATGTATATATATATTTTTTATTTTTAACATCATTTTTTTTTCATTTCATCATCCTGTTATTCGTCGATTGCCTCGAGCAGGCCCCAGTAACGTCTCTTTCATCCTAGCCCTGAGATTATATTCAAGGCTCTTTAGGAGAATGAGACCCATCACTGTTACTGGTATTTGGCATATTTGGTACGCCACGGGGAGTTTGCCTGACTCTGCCCTGTGCCTTTTTTTAACATCAGTGTTTCACAAATCAAGAGACAGTAGGCTCTGTAGAAATATGTAAAGATGTAAAGTTCTCTGTTTAAATAAAAATGTTGTTTCAAGACACCATGAAGGCTAAAGGTTCTGAAAATTTTAATTGCAAATATGATGGACTGGGATTTGTTCGATTTGTTCCATAGTTATCTAAATAAACTTATTTTCATGGAGCATACAGGTGGGAGTATACTTTTTGAATCACCCTGATATAGAAGCTTCTCATTCCTCTGACCCAAAGGTGTCACCAAATAGATCTATAAATGATCTTTTAAAATTAAAGTGTCTCAGAGGTTGGGGTACAGCAGGTAAGATGTTTGCCTTGCATCTGGTTGACCCTGGTTATATCTTAAGCATCCATATGGTCCCTTGAGCACCGCCACGTAGTAATTCCTGATTGCAGAGTTAGGAGAAACCTCTGAGCAACACTGGGTATGTCCTCCACCCACTCCACACCAAGAAAAGACAAAAAATAAAAAAAATTTTATTTTTTGCTTTTTTAGGTCACACCCAGCGATGCTCAGGGGTTATTCCTGGTCCTGCACTCAGGAATTATGCCTGGCGGTGCTTGGGGCACCATATGGGATGCCAGGGATCAAACCCAGGTCGGCTGCGTGAAAGGCAAACACCCTCCCTGCTGTGCTATCGCTCCGGCCCTTAAAAAATAAATTTTTAAAATAAAATTTAGTATCTCGTGTCACATGTTTGACATAATCAGACTCTAATCTAAATTTCAGAACAAGGCTATGTTCTGTTTTGAGGCAAGGCATGCCCTTCTCCAACTATCACTGTTCTAAAAAGTAGTGGAGCACTATATTTATTTCTTAGTAAGCAGAACTTGCTACATAAGCAATGATTGCTGAAATTGAAAAGCATATCTTTTTATAAAACATAATTTTATACATATTCACATTAAATTTCCATAGCAATCCTGAAAAGTTTTCCTTATGCTGCAAGTGAGGGGGAAAAAAAGGAGATGAGATTATCTGCCTTTCTGAATTTTGTCTATTTCTGTGAGACCACATTTTTCTCTGTAATCTATTTACAAAATAGGAAAAATATTGGCAACTTACCATATTGATAGCATTCACTGGACCAATGCTATTCACATACATATCTGTGTGAATTAATGTTGGTTTCACTGTAAAGAACCACAGAGAAATGTGAAAAATGGAGAAATAACAATTCAATGCTTTTGTCTTTATTATCCTAGAAATAGATTTACTTTGCTACATTAAAAGTGATTTTTTCCAAATAATGTGGAGCCAATGTCTTTACCACATTTGAATAACTTTCATTTTAAAAGAAGCTACTTCTCTTAAAGCATGGAGCTAAGCAGAGTTCAAATTTGGAACTCATTATTCCTCTGAGACATTAAATGAACAAACAGGAAAACCCTGCTCAGTTTTTTTTAATCTTTCTCTGATATTTTTAAGTTTTAACCATGTTTCTACAAGCTCTATAATGAACTTGGACTTTATAACTTGAATTGATCCATGAACAAAAATAACTTAGTGAATCAGAAAAAAAAATTCACTTGAGAAAGCTTAAGTATACAGAAAAATCAACAAATACTATGAATTATCCTGAAACACTGCTCCCTGTTGATTCTTTTTTACGATCACTTTATCCTCATACACCTCTGGCCAACACAAAAATCAATCTTCCTTAATGACTTAATGGATTCTGTGTCTCATCAAATAGTATAAAGGAGACATATGGAAGCCAATACACACCTATTTGTCAAAGAAGACTGATATGACCAGTTTCTGGTATTACATCCATGACCAAGTGCATGTGCTCCATTCTCATTTAACAGTTAATGAACAAGAATTCATAATATCATCCCGAACTTCCCATGGACATTTCCCTCGCCTTTATCTATTTTCATTCAATGTGCCATCCACTAATTCTCCGTGGTCAATTGAATTCTCCACTGTTCCCTGCATCTACATCATTATCTTCACCTCAAACAAGGCCAATTTTTCCCCTACCTTTTGGATTCTGGGTTTGACCATCTCACTTGCTTTAGCTCTGCATACAAGGCCAGTTCTAGAACATTCTAAGTATTAAACGGATGTGCTTCTACTTTCTCTCTTGCTTTGTACTCTCGCCATGAGATGATAGTCACAGACAGCTGCTGAACCCAGGAGAAGAAAGTCTCCCACCCTCCTAAATGAGCAGGCCCAGCTGGACATTTTTTTTAATTAGATTGTCCCTTGTAAAGTGTGAAACAAATATGTATAATTGTCTGCCAACTGTGATGTTGTGAATGTTTACTATAGCAACAGGTAATCAATATATCCACCAATATTTACATATATATGTATATATATACACATATATGTGTGTATGTGTATGTATCTATATAGAGAGAGGCATATATACACATACATACACGTGTGTGTGTGTGTGTGTGTGTGTGTGTGTGTGTGTGTGAAGTCACTTTTCCTCTCTAGCCTTTTCTGGCTACCTAGGAAAACAATCATTTCTTTTTTGGGTTTGTTCTGTTTGTGGGCCACACGTGGCAGCCAGAGCTTATTGCTGGCACTTCTCTCAGGCATCACTCTTGGCGGTCTCTGTGGGGAACCTATGGGATGCCTCGAACCTAACCTGGGTCAGCTGCCTTACCTGTTTTACTATCACTCCAGCCCAAAACACACACATATTTTTTAGCTCTCAGACCTCACTAGAAAACAACAAAAACATCTTTTCATTGCTGATATTAACAATGAGTGAACAGTACCCCTAAAATGATATTTATGTATTCTTTATAGAGTTTTTAATAATATAAACTGCAACCTTATGGTTATTGAAGTATGCTCAGATTCTTTGACTATGGCAGGCATACGTAGTAGGAACCTCCTTCCACACCACATCAAAGACCCAGTTAACGTACCTCCTATATCAGGACGAAGTTTATTGTCATATCCTTCTAAGAGGTTGTTTAAAATGACAGTCACATCGCCCTCGGGAACTTTGGGGGTTAAGACCCATGTTTTGTTGGAAGCATAATCTTCATAGTCATCATCAGATTTCTGGCTGCTGAGGCTAATGAGAGAGAGAGAGAGAGAGAGAGAGAGAGAGAGAGTGAAATCGGAGTGAAATCGACATCCAACTTGAATTTTAATTCACAGAATACGAGCAGGAAAGAAGTGAACTGGGATTACAGTAATGTATTTGAATGATTACAGTGAAAATTCTCTGAGGTTAGTCTCTAGCTCCTAACTTCTTAAACCATGGAACAGGTAACTTTGGAAAGAAAATTGTCCTAAAATAGATTTTTTTCTTATTATTAGTAAATGTTTTATTTGTAAGCCCAGTTCATAGTTATATATACGCAGGACTATGTAAAAAAACAAGGGCCAGAACAATAGTACAGCAGCTAAGGTGCTTGCCTTGCATGTGGCTGACCAGGGTTCAATTCCCAGGCCTAAATGGTTCCCTGAGCCCATATGGAGTGATCTCTGTGTACAGAGCCAGGGGTTACCCTTGTGATTTGCTGGGTGTGACCCAAAGATGCAGGGGCTGCGGCGGGGGTGGGGGGGGTGGCGAGAAAGAGACAATGAATAGAAAGTTTAAGAAGCCTGCCCTAGCAAATTGAACTGCAGTGATATGTAAATCAAAACCTTTAAGAGTAATGTCTCCAGTTTTCTAGAATGTTCTGCGTTTCCATCCACAGTCATGCTTTCCTAGTTATTTTCACTTTTCACATAGTTGATGTTCTTCCCACCCTATGGACCAGCCTCGTGAAGAACTGTTTTCAGAAAAAAAAATCTTTTTTTTATTGTGGAATTACTAAGTAAAAGATCATAATGTACACCAAGGGCTCAGGCATATTGTCTACTTGCCCCAACAAGTCATGAAAGAAGGAGACTGATCATTGAATTCAGCCCCCCATAAACTGCCGGAAAAGCCTCTCCACTCTCAACTACTGAGCAGAGCTCAGTATCCCGGCCTTTCCTGTTCATCCCCCGAACTTTGTTTATTTATTTATTTGTCTTCCACTTGTACTCAATGAAAGGGCGGTTCATTTACCTTTGACTGTTAAGGGCTGGAATTACACAGAAAAAGAGAATTCTATATTTTAATGTCTTTGCTTTTTTTAAACAGCATCAATTCCAAGCTGGAAACTCATGCTAATGGTCACTGAGCTAACTATCATCATAAAAATTAAATATCCTTTATGGAGTGAGCAAAAGGACACAATACTATGATTCAGTTGTCCATGCCAACACCTGTTGGAAAACTGCTATCACTGGTCCAGAAATACAAGCTATGAATACCGAGTATATATAACTATAAACTAGTATTTTTCCTTTAGGTTGACTTTAGAAGGACACAGGAATTCCTCTAGTATTATTCCCCTAAGTCCCAAACACACACAAAATTATTATTTTTAAATTTGGGGGCAGTTCAAACCCTATAAATACTGCCATCTTAATTTTTATCACTGTTCCATGAATATTGGTTAATTTTGTGACCCTCTGGTTAAAAAAAATAGAGCTTTTCACAATTTACAAAAGTATCCCACCAATCTTCAGTTTCTTTTCCTGAATTATATGCATGGTACAAAGGACTGTCAGAAGTAAAATTACTAAACTATTACCATAAACAGATATTCTCAAACCAAAGTCTCCTTGGAAAAAAAAGAACAGTATCTCTTTCTCCCCTTATACCATTCCTTCTCTTTCTGTCTCAGACAAATGTGTTTATGAGAAACTTTTTTTTCTGAAGAGTTTCGGCATTAAATCATTTGATGTATTTGTTTATATACTAACAATTACAAGATCCAAACATGGAAATGCTGTGTCATGTCATTACTGTTATCTGGAAGACTTGAAGCAAAAATACATTAGTAAAAAGATTTAGAGATTCTCGCATAGAAGGACTATTAATTTCCAGAACTGCACTAATAATTGCCTTAGAGTTAATTTTTACCAGATGCTACAACAAAAATCAAATAGCTTGTTTATATGAAAGAATTTCTTTTTTTCTTCTTTTTTTTGCTTTTTTGGGTCACACCCAGTGATGTTCCTAGTTCTGCACTCAGTAACTACCCCTGACGGTGCTCGGGGAACCATATGAGATGCTGGGAATTGAACCCGGGTTGGCCATATACAAGGCAAATGCTCTACCTGCTGTGCTATCACTCCAGTCCCTCATATGAAAGAATTTCTGACTGATGTTTTTCATATTTCTGATCTTTATTTATGCAGAGAACTTAAGAGCATATCCATGGGTGTAGAAAAAACCTAGTCTTTTATTTAAAAAAATGCTTATTATCCCTTCTTATTAAAAATTCCCCCCCTAAAGGGGGCCAGAGTGATAATACAGTGGGTAGGGCATTTGTCTTGCACCTGGCCAACCTGGGTTTGATCCCCAACATCCCATATGGTCCCCCAAGCACTTCCAGGAGTAATTCCTGAGTGGAGAGCCAGAAGTAACCCCTGAGCATATCTGGGTGTGACCCCAAAAGAAAAAATTTCAAACAAAAGATTACAATGAGATATAATTTCACTCCCAATAGAATAGTCTGCATGAAAAAGACTAAAAACAAAAGATTCTGGCAAGGATGCTGTAAATCATGAAAACCTGGTACACTTCAGGGAGAAATGCAAACTGCTGTAGTCTTTGTAGAAAATATTACAGAAATCTCTTTAAAATAAGATGGAAATATATAATACAGTGAACCATCAAAGGCACTTAACCCAAGGATATGAAGGCACCAATGAAGGATGTTTACATCACCACATTCATTGCAACACCGTTCACAGTAGCCAGAAGGTCATCAAGCAAAATTGCCATCAACAGATCACTGAATAAAGGAGCAGTGATATACAAACTCAAGGAAACGTGATTCTACCACTAAAAAGATGAATATCATTTCACACCATAGAGATTGGCCCACATCCAAAAGAACAAAAGCAACGGTGCTGGTGCGGATGTGGCAAGAAAGGGACCCTCCTTCACTGCTGGTGGGAATGCCGACTGGTTGGTGGGAATGCCCTTCTGGAAAACAGTATGGACGATTCTCAAAAAACTAGAAATTGAGCTCCCATTTGACCCAGCAATACCACTCCTGGGTATATATCCCAGAGAGGCAAAAATGTATAGTCGAAGTGACATCTGCAGTTGTCTGTTCATTGCAGCACTGTTTACAATAGCCAGAATCTGGAAAAAACCTGAGTGCCCTAGAAGAGTTGACTGATTAAAGAAACTTTAGTACATCTACACAATGGAATACTATGTAGCTGTCAGAAAGGATGAAGTCATGAAATTTACATACAAGTGGTACTACATGGAAAGTATCATGCTAAGTGAAATGAGTCAGAAAGAGAGAGATAGACATAAAAAGATTGCATTCATCTGGGGAACAAAATAGGAGACTAACACCCACGAATAGCCGAGATAAATACCAGGAGGTTTACTCCATGGCTTGGAGGCCAGCTTCACACTCTAGGGGTAAAGGCAGCCCAGATGTAGAAGGGAGACCAAATGGGGGCTATTGGGAGGACTACGCCAGGATGGGAGAAGCATACTGAGACTAGACTCTAGACCAAACATGTTGCCACTCGATGCCTCTTTTGCAGGCCACGGCACCCAGAGGGAGAGAGAGAACAAAGGGGAGTGCCATGCCACAGAGGCAGGGTGGGATGGGGGGATAAGGGGAGTGGGAGGGATACTGGGATCAGTGGTGGTGGGGAATGGGCACTGGTGGAGGGATGGGTACTTGATCATTGTATAATTGAAACCCAAGCACAAAAATCTGTTAGTCTACAACTGTATCTCATGGTGTCTCACTAATTAAAATAAATAAATAAAATGATAAAAGCATACCTCTGGGGGTGAGAAGGGAGAGAGAATGGAAGGTGGAGTGAAGAAAAATAAGATGCTTTCTTTCATATGTGGAATCAAATTTCTAAAGCAAACAAAATGACTAAAGAACTCTCCAAAACTTCTAGATTAGGGGCTGGTGCAATAGCACAGTGGGAAGGGCATTTGCTTTGCACCAAGTTCGATTCCCAGCATCCCATGTGGTCCCCTGAGCACCACCAGGAGTAATTCCTGAGTGCAGAGCCAGGAGTAACCCCTGTGCATCGCCAGGTGTGACCCAAAAAACTCCCCCACCCCCGCCAAAAAAAAGAGAAAAAACCTCCTAAATTAAGAGAACACTAGGGGGTTATCAGAGTGAGGCTTGGTAGAACTGAAAGGAGTGTAGAGGAAGAGGGAAGAGGTAGAAGGCAGGTTTCTGGGGGTGCCACTGGAACCCTAGGTAGAGTGAGTGCTATAGACGTACCAGAATATAAAATGTGCCCCCAAAGCTCCATAGTATTCTATGCCAAACAGAAATCAATAATCTTATTTTTGTTCTGTTTTTTGAGAACAATTCTGACAATGCTCAGGGCTTACTCCTGTGTCTGTACTCAGGGATCCCTCCTGGCTAGGCTCAGGGGACCAATGGGGTGTTGGGATCAAACCCAGGTTGGCCACATATAAGGCAAGTGCCTTACCTGCTCTACTATCTCTCTGATCCAATAAAGCAATTTTTTGCTTTTTTTTTTTTTTTTGCTTTTTGGGTCACACCTGGCGATGCACAGGGGTTATTTCTGGCTCTGCACTCAAGAGTTACTCCTGGTGGTGCTCAGGGGACCATATGGGATGCTGGGAATCGAACCCGGTTCAGCTGTGTGCAAGGCAAATGCCTTATCTGCTGTGCTATCTCTCCAGCCCCCTAATAAAGCAATTTTTAATGGGGAAGGAAGAGGGATATAGAAAAGAATAGGGGCCAAGGCATTTGACTCTCACGTGGCTAACCCCTCATCCCACTCAATCATGGGAACCAGGTGTGGCTCCCTAAATACAGCCAGGGGTCACCCCAGATAACAGACCCAGGAAGAGCCCTGAGCACCACCACGTGTGGACCAACTCTCTTCCCACTCCCCAATAAATTAAATCTAAAAATAAAATATAAAAGAAACTAGTCCTTTTTCTGAATCCATGTCTTTTCTGTGTCACACTGTTTTATGACCTTGGGCAAGCTTCTTAAC